AATTACTCGTAGTTTCTACTGTGCCTGAACTTTTTATCAATGTTATGTAAAGAGGAAATTGTTTCTATTTGAAGCATATATGTAATACTCCTATATTGGCAGTAAGAGCTAGTACCGCCCGAAAACACTACAGTACAGATATATCAATAAACACGTACGAAAGAAAAGGAACACACACATTTATAAATAAACATGTACACAACACATATACAAAACCGGCACTCAAGTACACAATACATTGACAAAAACAGTACTAGCCCCGCAAACATACCCTGTGGGGAAAATCTCTAGTTCTGAACTGGGGCGCTTCTAGTACATTTAGACCCAGTACTGGTTCGCGATAAATCTCTTTTGCATGCAAGCAACTGGCGAATTTAACATGGCGATGTCCTAGGAAGTGTCAATTGCCCCCCGCTGCATCCCTTTTTCGATAGTTCCGAACTAGCCCTAAATTCTATAGTTCCGAACCAGTTCTAAAATCGACAGGCGAAAGAAAAAGGTATTATGATTTTTCAATCTTTTCGGTTCTTCCGTGTGCGATTTTACATTATTTTCAAAGAAACATTTTTTCAAATTTGAAATTAAATTTGTTTGAACGATTGTAAGAAATGTACGTTTACATACCTTTGGCTGTAGCTGACTTTGCAGAGGTGCTCGCTGTTATTGGTTAGATTCCAGACAGCCCCAAGATGTTAATATGTTAACACAAAGCTTTGTTTTGTATTACCAAACTATGAAATAGCATCTGCGAAGCACAGAATAGAAGCGTTTTTGAACGAAAAAGCCGCCGAACACATATCTATGTAAAGTAAACAAGCCCCCCGCTGCATCCCTTATTCCATAGTTCCGAAATAGTTCTAAATTCGACAAATAGGATCTAGTTCGTTCTGCATCCCTTTTTCTATAGTTCCGAACCATTTCTAATTCGTCACTTTAGATATAGATTTCTAGTGAAAAAAACTGAAAAAATTAGTTTCTTAAAAGTACCACTTTTCGCCGATTTTGGACTGGTGGGGATCTAGTTCCTATCGGACTAGTTCCTTTTTGGCGATAAAGACGTAGTACGGAGCTAGAAATTTGATTCACTAGTCCGCGGTTTCCCTGCAGGGTATTCTGAGCGCTCAGAATATATGAGTCGGAAAGGAGTCCTAGGTAGGTAAGAAATATGAGTTTCAAAAACAAAA